TCTCCTCTCCCCTCAGAAAGGATGAAAAGCATCTGAATTACATATAATAGGCCAGTAATCCCTCAAAGAGTAACCTCCAAGCACATATATTCACTTTGTTTACCTTTTTAGAGAGAAATGGAGTACAAACATAAGAGCATTATTACCACCCACATTTACCTTCAGGAATAAGATGATCAGATTACCTGGTTTGGGTTCTCAGGGATGTTTCATTTTAGTCTAATGATTCACAATTCTAGGATCATTTATTTGGTGTGTGGATATACAGGGATCATAAAATTTTCAAAAGAAAGCAAGGCATTTTGACCCACTCCTATAATCCAAACACTCAGGAGGCTGAGGCAGAAAGATCACTGTGAGTTTGAAGCCAGCCTGAGATACACAGTGAGAACAAAAAATGTGAATACTACTCAGCTATACAGAATGACCAATTTGAGGCATTAGAGGGAAAATGGATGCATCTGGAAAATACACTACTGAGTGAAATAAACACACAAGCTTAAATATCATTCAGTATTGCTCATTTGAATGTGGCAAAGTACAACAAAGAAAATGATAAAGGATGGCTAGAAAGGGGAAAGATATCATCCAATAGGGAAATGGACCAAGGTAACAAGGAGAGGGAGGAGGGGAGGGGAAGGGTAAATAAGAGGAATAAAGATGTGCCATGCACAGGATCCTAATATCTCCAACCACTGTAAACATTATGTGCCATAACATGAGCTAAGACAAATAATACTAACAGATGAAAAATGTGATGGGGAAACAGAGGAGGAGGGGGGAGGGGAAGGGGAATCAAACTGTAACATGTACATGTAACACCCCAAGACAAATGTAAACTGCATGAATTGCAAACATGTACTAATAAAATAAAGTGATAATTAACACGTTGAACTAGAGTAGCCAGCCTGTTATGCAAGAAAGAAATAATTTTCCTTACTTGAGCTTCTTTATTTAGGGTCTTGTTGATTTTTTTTTGAGAGGTTCTCCTTATGTAGTGCAGGCTAGCTTTGAACTCACTATATAGCCCAAGCTGGCCTAAAACTCCTGATGATTCTCCTGCCATAACCTCTTAAGTGTTGGGATTATAAATGGTACACCATGCTCAGCAAGGATCTCTTTGTTACAGTAGTTTCTCCTTTACCCAAATACAGGCATCTCCTGGGACTGTGTTAAATGATAATTGTGCCCTTATAATTATCATCTCCTCTACTAGCAAGCTAACTCCTAATTGGTCCCTCTGTTTCCTATTTTGCCTCCTGCATCTATTCTCAGCAACTGGGGTGATTCTTTTAAAAGGGAAGTCAGGTCATATTCACTCTGCTAAAAACCCTTACTCAGTAAGAGCAAAATTCCTAAAATAGCCTACAAGGTTTTGCACATTCCACGCCTTCCCCGATCACTCTTATCTCTTGAACTTTACTTTCCTAGTCTTCCTTAGTCTGCATCTCTAGTCCTCAATCAAATCAGACTTCCTGCCTTAGGGTCTTTGCACATTAGAGTCCTTCTACTTGTTCCAGATAGCCACGCGGCTCTTTATCTCCTTCAGGGCTTTGCTCAAATACCTCTTCCGATAAGGCCTTCTCTGTCTGCCCTGTAACTGTACTACTCCCTCTGACTCCCTAGCACTTCAACACACGTCCTTGCTTCAATTTCTCTATAAACACATACCACCATTTGACACAGTCTGCATTTTCTTTCTTTACATGTTTATTTGAGATGCCAACTCCGTAAGGATAGAGATTTTTGATTGTTTACTGCAGTTTTCTTGTTTAAAATTTTATTTATTATTTATTTATTTTGCAGTGCTGGGTGCTAAACCCAAGACCTCTCCTCCCCCCAACCTCCTAAATTTTAATTAGTATTATTATTATTTTGAGATAGGGTCTCACTAATAGTTCAGCCTAGTTTTAAACTCATTGTGTAGCCAGGCTGGCCTTGAACTCTTCTTACCTTAGCTCTTGAATGCTGGGATTACAGACATACACCTCTATGCCTGGTTTTATTTTTTATTTTGATAGAGGGTCCTACTACTAATTAAACTGCTCAGCCTGTAATCCCAGCACTCAGGAGGCTAAGGCAGGAGGATTGTTGCAAATTCGAGACCAGCCTAGGCTACAAAATGAGCTCAATATCAGCCTAAACTGCATAGGGAGACCTTGTCTCAAAAAGATTAAATGAATACATAAATAAACAGCTAAATCACCTGGGCTGGGCTCAAACTGGTGATCTTTCAGCCTTAACCTCCCAGAGTACTGGCAATACAGGTGTGTACCACCACATCAGGCTACTGCAGCATTTTACACGGTCATAAGAAGTGTTCAATAAATAGCCAATGAATAAATTTCTCGGGGGCAAACTTTGTAATCTCATTGTCTAGCACACTGCCTTGAATGCAACAGAATATTCAGTAAGCATTTGATGAATGAACTATCATGAAAGAACACTAATATTCTACCTTGCAGTTTACTTCCTTCTCCAATGCCTACTCCTATGTGTACACATGGGCATATATCAAAGTGCTGAGCTTGTGAAAACATGGCAAAAGGTCAGAAGTCATCTACGGACACTGCTGAAAATGACAGTAAGACAAAGCATGCTGTTTAAAATAAAAGTGGAAAGCTGTGCAGTGTTGTCTGCCTGTAATATTGACAATCTAGGAAGCTGAGGCAGGAAGATTGCCAGCTTGAGTGCAGCCTGTACTATTTATTTATTTTATTTTATTTATTGTCTTTTTGAGACAGAGTTTTGCTATGCAGTTCAGGATGACCTTGGGCTCATTTTATAGCCCAAGCCAGTCTCAAACTCATGATTATCCTCCTGTCTCAGCCTTTAGAATGCTGGGATTACAAGTGTTTGCTACCAAGCCTGGCTCAGCCTGGGCAATTTAGCAAGACTAGTCAAAAAATATATTTATTATCTGGGGATGCACTTCAGTGGCAGAATGTCCATGGGTTCAATCTACAGTACCACACATGAAAGATGGAGACAGAGACAGACAGAAAGAGAGAGGGAAAACATGCTGCTTGAATATTTTCTGCCTATTTAGATAACTTGTACCCTCTGGGTCTCAGCACTACTAGCGTAAAATGAAGCTGGTAGATTAGATGACCTTGAAAGCTGCGTCTCACCTTCTTTTTTCTGGTACTGAGGATGGAACCCAGGGCTTTTCCCCCTGAGCTACAACCTCAATCCTTTTTTTTTTATTTTTTTAATTTTGAGATAAGTTCTGCCTAAGTCATTAACTTTTGGGATCCTCCCAGCTCAGGCTTTTTTGGGATCCTCCTAGCTCAGGCTTCCAGGTTTCTGGGATTACAGATTCGTACTAGCATATTCAGCTCATATATATATATATATATATATATATATTTTTTTTTTTTTTTTTCTTTTGGAGACAGGGTCTCACTATGTAGCTGGACTTGAACTTACTATGTAGTCCAGGCTGGCCTTGAACAGAACAAACTTATGGCAGTCTTTCTGTCTCAGCCTCCCAAGTGCTGGGATTAAAGGCATGTACCACCATACCTGGCTCCGATATTAAAATTAGAAGTAAACCTAGGCGTGGTAGTGCGAGCCTGTAATCCCAGGATTCTAAAAGGATCCCAAATCTGAACCAAACCTGGGCAGTTTAGTGACTTAGCACGAGCTCCATCTCAAATTTAAAAAAATAAAAAAGTTTGAGCTTCAAATCGAAGGCCCTGTGTTAACTCGTTAGAACCACTGAAAAAAAAAATGAAGCAAAAGATTGGTAGGTCCCAGAGCCTCCAATGAGCTAAGCAAACATTTCACAATTGAGTTGCATTCCCAAGACATATGGTCACTTTTTTTTAAGACACAGTCTCACTGTGTAGCCCTGGTTGGCCTCAATCCAGCGATTATCCTGCCTCAGCCTCCTGAATGCTGAGATTACAGGCACGCACTATTATGCCAGGGAATATAGTCACTTTTGATTCTAAAATTCTATGATTTTTTTCTCTAATCCATGATTATGCTTAATGAAAATCTAGTGTAAGAATAAAGGCTTACATTGGTCCATTAGTAAGTATCATAAAAATGGTAAAACAGTGGTAAGAGCCACATTAGTGAACTAGGTACAGTGGCACATACGTGTACTGTACTTGAGTGGTGAAAGCAAGAGAATTGAAATTCAAACTCTAGCCCTGTATCAAAATTTAAAATGTTTAAAAAGTCACATTAACAATACAAGCGTTGCCACTGAAGCTCAGGTGAGGCAGGCAGATGGTATCAAAAAGTAGGTTTTCTGATTCCAACAGGACTCGTTCTGGAGTCCCATAGGATACTATATTTTCTTTCCTTTCCAAGAGTTTTAAATAAATTAGGCTCTCACTGCCCAGACATTTTGGAAAATCCACTCTCATTTGTTTGAATGTCCACGGTCTCAGCATCAAAAAACACAATTTTTCCTTGTAGTGTCCGCAGATGACTCAGGTAGCCACCCTTCCGTTACTTTCCTCCTGGAATTTGTCTTCCAGGCTATGTACGCCTTGTGCTACCCGAAGGATGCAGTCTCTTCGGATGCGCCAGGGTTTTGAGCATCTCTGTGATGTAAGAAAGCCTGCATTCGGCCCCATCCTTATAAACCTGCATGTCCTAGTAGCTGCCATCTAGATTTTTATTAAAGGAAACTATAAACCAGAGCCAGTCTTAGTTTTTTTCGCTCAAGCAGGAAAAAAAAGCAAGCGCGGCTGACACCTCATTTGGGGGAAGGAGGTCTCCTTACCCGTCACAGATAACCGCCACCCACATCCTCTCGCCCACGGGCAAACGTCTCCACCCGAGCTACTCCTCACCCTACCCCACCCCACCCCGCCCAACTACCAGAAGGCGGGGCTATTTTTTCTCTTGCTCCACTTCGCACCCTCCAGCCAATACCCGACAGAACCCAAGGGAGGGTGACGCCGAAGCCGAAACTCCGCCCCCCCTATTACCACTCAGCGAATTGCAGCCGGTGGGGGTGTGGCCCTCGCGCCGATCCCGCCTTCGGCGATAGGTAATTTAGAGCGGCGTGCCGGGCGGGAATGTAAGATGGCGGAGTAGCAACGCAAAGCATTTGCTTTAAGTGGCAGGGTCGACTTCGGTTTCCGTCTCCCCAGCAGCACTGATTACTGAACGAAGAGCGCCTACTATAGCTGCCCAAGATGCCGAATATCAAAATCTTCAGCGGCAGCTCCCACCAGGATTTATCCCAGAAGATTGCTGACCGATTGGGCCTGGAGCTGGGCAAGGTGGTGACTAAGAAATTTAGCAACCAGGAGACGTGGTAAGGGCGAGTTGGGACCATGAGCGGTCCTCATCTGGCCGAGTTGTTGGGGGCCTGTGGGCTGGGACTGCGCGTGAGTTCCGGGGAGCTGGGGGAGAGAGAAAAGGGCAGCTCTGCAGAGGGTGCCTCGCGGCTCTTTCCGTTATTTTACCTCTCGAGAGGGTCACGTTTATTCTCACCATTCGGTGAGGTGAAATCAATATGGAGCATCAGGCGAAGCTGCTCGGTTTGAAGGTAAAGGTGGAAGACCTGATGCGGGGATAGTGGCTGCCAATAGCGATAGGAGGGGACCGATGCTTAGCGTCAGCTTTGGAGACACGTGGCTTTGTTCACTGCGGAGCACTAGGCTGGACTGGGTTGCTCCTGCTTTGGGCTTCTGTGCTTCGGGGAACCTAAAGTCTTAAGATACAGTTTTTCTATTCGAAATGGTATTGGTCCTGTTTGGTTTTAAGAGAAACATGCTAAGTACTAAGGGCGCGAAAATACTGTTCAACAACTTTCCTTAGATTGTGGCTGGTGTCGGCTTTTCAGAACTTAAGAATTGTCTACCGCGTAGTCGGAGCCATCCTTACGTTATTAAGCAAATTTGCATCGGCGATTCCTAGTTTGAGTCATCCCCAAAATATTGGGGGAACTTTAGCTCAGGAACCAAATCTTTATTTTCCCCTCAGTGCAGCTACTGGTAGGGATAACACTTTAAGGATATCTTTTAGTGACAGCCTCTCCTGAACTTAGGCATTTTTCTCACCGCTGTGTGTGTGTGGAGGGGGGGGGACGACGGCAATTTTTACCTGAATGTTAAAATATTTTGTATTGTAGACTAATCCAGGGCTTTTGCATTGAACTACAACCAAGCCCTTTAAATGTTATTTTCCAAACTCGGTGTGTTGGCACACACCAGTATTTCTGCTACTAACTGGAGATACATGTATACAATTCAATACTTACAAGTGAAACAAGTCAGAAACGCATGCGTAAACGTCATACTGTTTCACTAGTGTGAGAAACTGAAGGAAACAGTACATACCTGTGTATATAAAAAGTTAAGACAGTTATACTTGATTTATCTGTGTTCATTGAAGAAAATATTTGTGCTGATATTGTTCAGACAATTGAAAGCAGATGTCTTGTGCTTTGCATGAATGATTTGGGGATGACAATCAATGCTCAATGTATGCACCATTGTTGCCCCCTGATTCATGTGTTTAGAAATTTTTACTTTTTTTCTTTCCTTTGAAATAAAATGGATTAAAAAGTATTCCCACCACTGGGGAGGCTGAGACAGAATCAAACCGTGCACTGCAATTTGGATTTTTTTTTTTTGGTACCAGGGCTTGAACTTAGGACCTTGTGCTTGCCAGGCTGGTGCTGTGCCGCTGAGGTGTATCCCCAACCCGCAATTTGAATTTTTTTCTGCTGCATTGCCAGTAAAACTTCCCCACTTCCACCTTATACAAGCACCATTAGACCGTGCTAGATAAATATCTCGATTATCTACTTCAATCAGTGCCTTTTCCAGCTAAATGCAGGTTCTTCGGGTCCTGATAGGTGTTTTTATTACCATATCATTCAAAATCAGCATTACCCATAAATCTACAGTAATCTGGTAGGGGTAGATTTTAACCCAGTGATAATCAAAATTAGGTAAGATAACATCAAACTTTTTTTTAAACAATACTTTCTTACTTTTTTTGTTTTTTTTGAGGTAGGGTTTCACTGTGCAGCTCGGGCTGGCCTTGAACTCACTTTGTAACCCTGGCTGGCTTCAACTCACAGGGAGCCGGACCCTGAGTGCTAGGATCACAGGCATGTGCTACCACACTAACTGGTTTTTTGCTTCTTTAAACCACTTTACAAGTATAACTCCTTATCTTTTTCACACTGCTGATAGAGTATTCATCTGTATTGGATAGGCAGGTCTTGGTGGCCCATGCCTGTAGTTGCAGTGCTGGTCTATAATACCAAAATTCAGAGGCTGATCCCAGAGGATTGGTGCAAGTTTGAAACCTGGCTGGGCTACAGTGGGAGACCCTGTCTCAAAAACAAAAGGACGAAACACATCTGTAATGGATAGCTTCCTCCTAGATTAGTGCTACTAGTTGTAATGCAAATGAACATGCAAAGACTGCTGCCTTTTGTAACCGAGCAATAACTTTTTTTTTCCTTTTTATCGGTACGGGGGATAGAACCCATGATTGCCCGCTTGCAAGGCAGGAGCTTATGCTGCTGAGCTAAATCCCCAGCCCCACCAGGCAATAACTTTCAAAAGGAGCTTGCAAACTACAGTCTGTATCTTTGATCACACAGTTATGGCTCATGTCCTTAATCGAGACAAATACTACAATACAGTAGGAGCAGAAGAGATAGGGCATAAATATTCATATCGAGGTTTTCTTTGGTCCCTATGATACTCAGTCTTTTTCCTTTGATTTTAGGAAAATATGAACACTATTTTCTCGTTTTATTGAGTCTGTAGAGCGTCTACATAATGCAGCATACCAGAAACTGAAGCCATATTGGTGGTGGTTGGGAGGTTGCATGGGGAACAACTTAGTTTTCTGCTAGTTGATCTCTGTTAAGCCCAGCATCGGTACTGACAGCTTAGTTTCCTTGTTTCTGGTTTAATTAGCTTTTTGATTCCATAGATACTCAAATCTTTGCTGAACATACGGATGTTTCTTATGGAGACTTATCACAGCCTTTTTTCCCTCTAAGGTGTAGAAATTGTAACTTCCCGTGACCCTTCGGTTGGTTTTTTGGGGGGATACACTGGAGTTTGAACTCAGGACCCTTTACACTGAAACTACATCCATGGCCCTTTTTGGCTTTTTTTTTTTTTTTGGTACTGGAGACTAACTCACGACCTTGTGGGGCACTGGGGATCAACTCATGACCTTGTGGGGCAGACACTTATGCAGCTAAGCTAAATCCCCACCCATTTTTAAAATGTTTTTGTTTTTTGAGACTGGGTCTCTCTTTGTACTTCAAACTGTCATTTAATGATCTTGCCTCAGGCTTCCATTGTGCTGGGACTATAAGAGAACCTAACACACCCAGTTTATCCCTTTTTAGTTTTGTTTTGAGACAGGGTTTTACTTGTATGTGGCTCAGGGCTGGAGATAAGCATCTAGCTGACAAGCGCACAGTCCTTAGTTCAATCCCCTGTACCAAAAAACAAAAACCATGTATGTAGTTCAGGCTGGCCTTGAACTCAGTGGAGTCCAGGCTTCCTTCAAGCTCTGATCTTCCTGCCTCAGAGGTGGTGCCTACCTTAGCTTTTTTTTTTTGTACCGGGGATCAAACTGACAAACTTGCGCTTACCAGGCAAGCACTTGAGCCACTGAGCTAAATCCCTGGCCCTGCCTTTTATTTTTTTGAGACAGGATCTCCTTAAGTTGCCCAGGCTGCTCTCAAACTTAAGATCTTACTGCCTCAGCCTGCGAGAGTTTGGGGGTTACAGATATGCACTTCATAACTTGCCAGCTCTTGGGATCTGATGGTCATGAACGAGCTCACTTGGGGTGCCATAGGTCATCAGATGGTGGTTGTAGAGAAAAGGTAGACAGAGAATCTCAGGGGTTCATGCCCTTATGGGCAGAGTAACTTCTTTTGAAACAAATATCAACCCGCCTAGTCTGTTATTTAGGAACATACATATATTCACATAGGAAATATGCATAAATTTACACATTTGTGTAGAGGTACATATACTCACACATTTACACAGAAGTTAAAAAGATAGTGCTGGGATCAGAAAACCTGAATTTGAATCTCATCACCTAAAATAAACTGTTCATATTTTTATTTGTGACTTCCTGCATCTTCATTTTTTATATTATGTATGTTTACATATGTCTCCCAAAATATAAAGCAACCTTTCTTTACTTAGTAATTTATTTTGTATATTCTTCCTTCAATATTTAATTTAAATGAATTTAAAAAGCAAGTATTAAATTTTTTTCAGTAATCATGTTATAGAGAGTATGGGGGGGTAGGGTGACCAGAGAACCAAGCAGAGCAGGAAATCAAAAAGGTGAAGCTGTCCACAGACCTAAGGCACCTGTCCACCCAGAGTGTCCTGCCACAGCAGTTGAGTGACCATCCAGAAATTAAGAGAAATAACTAGGAAAAATTAAGAGCTGCTGTCATTACTAAAAGATATATATGTTACTCCAAAGATCCTGTATCATCCCAAATGGTAAAAGATGCTGAAACACAGCAAAAGCCAAAAGAATTCAGATTGCCAAAGGCCATCACTTTGGTATGAATATTAACAACATTCCCAAGGGCAAAATTTCCATTGTAGAGGTCATGCTATTCTCAATCATAAAATTTATCCAGAAACATGAACTGCTGAGAAAATAACACAAAACTAGAAAATGTAAATTCCCTTCCTAAGTATTTTGTTACTTTTAAAGTCAAGATTTTTCCTCCTGAAAACAAGAAATCAAGAGTCAAAATGAAGAAAATCACGAAAAAAATTTTTATAGGTACATCCTTATAGCACGTAGTAATTCATCATGGGGCACTGGGATATGTACATAACACATCTTAGTTACTTTTATGTCACTTTTGCTTCCTCCAGTCTCTTGGTCCCCTTCCCATATCTTTTATTTTGCTCTCTAAATTATTTATACTTTGAGTTTCTGATAAGAGAAATCATTCAATATTTTAATCTTCTGTGTCTAACTAATTTGATTTGGCATTATGGTCTCAAGTTGCATCAGTGTCCTGACAAATAACTCAAATTTATTCTTTATGGCTAAATAGTACTGCATAAAATACACACATATGTAGTATGAGATATTATAAATTGTTTTGCTATAAACATGAGTATACATGTATCACTAGTGTCTTACCTCTTGGGAAAATACCTAGGAGATAGAGTCCCCCCCTTCAGATTTTATCATAGAGCATTTGTATCTGTACATAATGACTTATTTTTCCCCATTCCCTTACTCTCCCTTCAACCCCTCCTGCTTTCTCCATTTATGAAAGCT